CTGGTCTTAACACGATGACAGTACGACGAAAGGACCAGCATCCGGCGGAGGCGGTGCCCAACTGAGGTGTTCGTTCCTCTACCTGCGAACTGTCGGCCTCACAAAACGACGGTTGTTCTCGCGCAAATGTTGTACCTCGGGCACTATACTGATCATCAAATCTTTACACTGTATAAGGCCGATGCAAAAGATTTGTCAGTGTTTTGAACGCCCCGCAATTCATTAGGATGAAAGCAAACAAACTTTTAAGCAGTAATCTATGCAGAAGTCCTTTTCTCTTGACAGCAATGTTGGATACGATTCTTATAACGAACGCTGAGATAATCGCTGAAGCTTGCGAGCCTTCATTTTTAGCATGTCTATGTTTGCTACTTCTTATTGCGTTCGAAGAAGCCTTGGTAGCCAGCAGATAGGGCATATAAATTTTTGCGAACAGTTGCAGTTTCTACTTTTCAGCTTCCGTTTTGGAATCCTGCTGAATAATGTCCAAAAGGTTGATTAAATTGCATAACATGAGCTGCACCAATAATGCAAAATCTTCAGAATACGAAGCCTCAGAACTCCATAACCTCCTCCTCCTCCGAACTACTTAAACTAGCATTACAAAGGAATTGATCATTAACGTTACAAAGTAAACGAGTACCCTCAAAAATATGATTCCAAAAGATTAGCGCTCCAACAGTGCGCACTAATAAGATAAGAAGTCGACATTTCCTGCAAATTTCGCGTGCATTGCAAAGAAAAGATAACCATCAGGAAGACAAAAGCTGCATCGAAACTGCATCTGGATTGTTCATACATCATATTTAACGGGTTTAGAATAGACGAGTATAGATTTCGCGCTGCAATCTCAGAAATTCATAACAACTCGAGCTAATTACAAAAAATCGCATTGACTTGCAAAAGATTTGCCTTATCAGCTGACTATCAAGGCTTTCCGTACAAAACTCAGATGAGTTTGTGTAAATTAAACTCAGGTATGCTTAACACGTAGGCTCGCAAGATTTGGCGATTCAGCGCCTTGTTGGAGGGATCCACTCTGTTCAGAGCTACTGAAAAGAGGAGCCAATTCTGCATCGGATACTTTTGGAAGTATTTGTTCATTTCTACCTAACGTGATTTGCGAGTGGATTTGGAAAAGTTATTGAATTTTTGCGCTGCCATAGTATACAAACTACCTGGTACGTATTCCAGAAGGAAGCAGCATGGATGTG